GGAGGACAGACTATGGACATGCCTGTCCTAACTGATCTCCAGATAAATTGTCCAACTGAAATAGAGAATGTTTCGCGGGCTACACTGGGCAAACTGATGGATCTGATTTTCTGTTTTAATACATAATTTAAATTTTGTATTGATGGTTAGCAAACTTCCAGAGCTTCCTCTCAGGATGTCTAACTTTATTTCTAAGAATTTGCTCCTTGTTTACTGCTGCTCAGGGGTCAGAGCAGATTTAAATTCATAGGGGTTTTGCCATAAAAAATATAGAACCTGCATAATTGCCTTATAATGCCATGGCAATCTAGACCTAAATTTAATGAATATTTTAACTAAAATTTTGAAATATTCAAATAGAAACAAAAACTATGAGAGACAAATATTTAAATACCTATGTACCTTTTCATCTGGGTCTTTATACAAAAAAATAAACGGTATGCAATGAAATATTTTCTTTGGATATAATTTATGGATTCCTTTTTGTAGAAATTAAAGAAGGTTTAATATAACCTCTTATGAGCTGGAAGAAAACAAATCTTGATAGTGAGACAAAAGGATGGCAGGGGATGATCAGCCACATGAAGTTTATTAAGTAGCAAGGACAGGAACTGCCATACTGCTGAGAGAACCATCAGTGTGGAGCACGCGCAAATACGCATCTCTGCACAAGCACAGCTGGAAGAGCAGAGTTTGTCAAGAGTTGAGAACGCAGTACCGGACCATTCCAGGTCATTTTCTCACCTGCCGCTCCAGCCATGGTCCATCTGAGGTCATTTAGAATGTGCACCGCTGCACGCCATGACCTGTTTGGTCATGCCGCCCAAATGCACCAGCATGACTCATTTTAAACGTCTGACAGACCACCCGCTAACGGTTTATTTTAGTGTCTTCCCAACGAAAACTCACACTCATGACTTGTCATCATCAAAGATCCATATTTAGCCTGTCGGTTTTCATGAAGTTTTTGTTGACAAAAACGACACTGCTTCCTTACAGTCATGCTCTCCATTGTTTACTTCTTTAACTTCTGTCACACTGGTGGCTTCATCAATCCAAACCCAGCGTGATGGCGTCACCAGACATGCAGCCATGGGGACAGAGAGCATGCATCATGCCAGCAGGGGTTAGACACTGCTTTTTTGAAAAGGAGCCAAATGCCGATTGTTAGCGGGTTGACCCATGTTTGAAAAAAACACATCAACCCGGTATTTTCAGTGATAAAGAGGCTTGATCAACACTTGTTCACTGGTTTAGGTTGGTTTTGATTTAGGTTACCTGCCTTCATTGCACAGTTTGTACCCACAATCTTCTCCAAGCTGTTCATGCGTTCTTTTTCATTTACATGCCTGAGTGGTGTAACCAAATAATTGGCAGTTAAAGCAACTAAGAACTCGAAACCAGGGGCGGAGAAGGGGGTGGGTAAAGGTGGCCATGGCCATCCTTAGCCAATCATTGGCCATCGCTGTGGCTACTCCATCCAACGATTTGTGGTTTTCTTGGATGTAACTCTTGAACAAGCAGTTCCCCTCTAAAACAATGTGGCTGCATTGACAGGGTACCTGAGGGGGTTTATAGGCCCG